GGCCACCTTCCCCTCTGCCATAGGATTTTTAAAGGGCCTTCTCAGACTCAGATAGATGTCTTTTTATCCCCTGAAGGATTCAGGTAAGCTCTATCTCTTGTGCTTAGGAAGTTAGTGCCATTTTATGAGCATGTATAAAAATCAACAGAGCTAGTGCCTTGTGTCATCTTAACATTTATTTAGAGAGTCAATTCAATATGCAAAATCCATGTTGGCACTCTCACTTGGCATGAATTATGACACCTTGCCGGGTGGGTGAGTAAACGGTTACTAGAAAGTCTTGAGTACGTTTTGGGCGGGATGTGGGTGGCGGCCAGCTCATGGGGCTTAGTGGGAGGGTCTCCACGAGGATGTTTATGTCCCTGCTGTCTGCAGCTCCCTCCCCACGCTGTGTCTGTGGGCCTCCTGTTCTCCGGCTCATGGGACAGGAATGTCTGTGCCTAATGCCTTCTTACTTTTCCTAATTCAAGAAGGCGGGTCAGTGGCTGCCTTGCAGGGCCCTCCTCTGACTCCAGGGGCTCTAAGAATGTGGCATTTCCAAATGCCTCGCTGGCTGGGTCTCCTTCCCTGCTGTGCCCGAATGGTCTGGGCCCTGAATGGGGAAGGGTCCTGAGTGTTTGCCTGTGGACACTGATGCTGCCACAACCCAAGGGCTATGATAGTCTTACCTTGCTGCCTCACTTCCCCCAGCACAGCACAGCATGCTGAGGCTTCTGCAGTTTTATCGCCCATGCTAAGTTCTAGACAGAGATCTGGCTCCATGGTTTTTATTTAAAACTGTCCCTTCTAAAGCAACTGGACCAAGATGATAACTTTTACCCTTCCCGAGGCTCTCTAAATTCCTCTCTGATCACCACACATGTCCCTCACTGGTCGCCCATTGTATTCCTCCTGCTGTTCTTGGTCACATACTCCTACCATTTGACATCCACCAGTCAGGCTGGCAGGGGGAAGCCAGGGAGGATGCACTGTAAACCAGAGGTGCTAATTCTGCACGCGCCACAGTGTCCCATGTCCTGGGCCTTGCTTTTGATCTGCAGAGCTAAGATCTTCCCTGCGTCTTCCCATGCATTTCTCTAGACAGGGGGAGGGGTATCTTGGTGTTTTATATGATAGGGAGGAGGGACAGTGGTGGGTGACCTCTTCCTGCCACAGTCCTTTCTTTTGTTTCTTGCAGTCTGAGCCTCTGTTTTGGCTCTGCATTAGGGTGGGTTCAAAACACCGTGCTGGCTGGGAGCTAGCCCCTCCCCAGACGGGACCTCTGCCTTTTCCATCTTCAAGGCCCAGCAATAGCCAACTCCTTCATCTCCCCTCCTCACTCCTTCTCAGAAGCAGCAACTCCTCTCTCAAAGAACAGGCTCAGTTTAACAGCTAAGGTCAGGCAGCAGTTCAGAAACACTTTCTCTTCACTCCTATCTCTGCTGAGCTTTTCTTTACGAGACCCCCTGAGCCTGGCTTCCCTGTTCCCAGCTGTGTAAATGCAGATGTTGAAATCATTGGTGGGTTGAGGTTCCTGAGTGCATCTCTGCTCCGTCTCCCACAAGCCCCTGCTCACAAGGCCACTCCAGGTGGAGTTCATCCACTACCTTCATGTCCTCATCTTTGTGCCCTTGTCTGATTGGCTACCCACAGCTGGGTACCCAACTTGTTCTCGAGAGTTTTGGAGGCCCTACTGAGCAGCTGCACAGAAGTCCCACATTCACCAGGAAATCATCTTTCACATCAGACTTTAAAAGCCTCAGTTGTCCCTGGAGAGACAT